ATCTTTTTTCATATTAAACAGTGAGAATAGTAGAACTAGGGGACACGAGTATAAATTTTTGGCAAGGTAGGAGTCATTTTTCTATTAGGGTGGTTGGCCTTTGGAATGGATTGCCTTTGGATGTTGTAGAGGCAGTAAATTTAAATGAGTTTTAAGATAAAGCTTGATAAGTATATGAATGATAAAGGCTGGCTTTAATTTTTTTCCATTATTTTAATATAGTTTAGAGGATGGAACACCCGAGATGGACCAATAGGTCCTATGTTGTCCCAAAACACTATGTTATGTTAGATAAAGTGTAGGGCAGGGAAATGGAAAGGATAAAGTTAAAGGAAAGAGAACTCTTCATTCATTCCAGAGGGATTAACACTGCATAATCTAAAAATCAAATGTTTTTCCAAGCATTTTCTTTGCATTACAGTGGATGGAGCAAATGCGAGTCCAAGTATGGAGAAGTCAAACAGGCAGTGTGAAGGGTTATTAAAGTGTCTACCTGTGGGTTTACTAGCATCAGGACAACAAAGTCTAATTCAACAGCAGGAAATTACTCATTGTGAATGGTGCTTATCACTCAAACATAAATCTACTTACTACCAACAATGCCCACATTCACGTTTACCTGATGTTCTATTATTGACCATGATCATGTTTGTAATTAGCAACTTTGTTAGTAGAAGTCTTCAAATCAACATGTGTAATCATCTCTATGTGTACAACCAAAATTTCTGTCTCATTTCTTGAGGTTCAGTATTTTTTTGCATGTACTGTAATTTCACAACTGGCCCCTATACTTTTTCCAGAGACACCTTTGCATATTATAAAAACAAATTGCTTCTATTTTAAAATATACAAAGTGCTACATGTAAGCTATTCTCTTTACTTTCATTTTAAGAAAATAAGTTTAATTTTGTTATAACTAGGTTTCCAAACTTATTGTAAAAGATTTAATTTTAATAAAATATTTACATTTATCAGTTACTAAAACAGTAACCATTTAATAATGCATGCCAAAATTGATATTTGATTAAACAAGTTTTACTTTGGCCTCAGCTAACATGACATTAAAAATTCATAATAATAATATTATCAAATAAAATGCTCTCCATCATCATTTATAAATTGAAAGTGAAAATTGTGAATACTAATGGTAATAGTACTAATTTAACTACATAGTTTGTAGATTCATTTCGCATTAGTCATGGTTATTTTACACTGTGTATAACCTTGAACTTCAAATTTGTTAAACCTTAAGAACTCTAAACTAAAGTGAGTCTATAATTATAATATACACAATTAATATATAAATTATAAAAACATGATAGAAACATTTAAAATTTAAATGCCTTAAAATTTGGGATCCTGTGATAAACTGGTCGAGGAAAACAAGCTATGTCGTTTTCTTCCAAGTATTTCCATATTTTCTGTCGAATGCTGGCTTTAGTGACAGTACTATCTAATTCAGTCATATTATGACTTTGACATTTAAAAGATTGCGAAGTTGGTACTGCTATAGTCGTAGTAGTTTGACATGAACGTTGTACTTGTAACATTTGTGTGTCTGATGTTCGATTTTCAAGGGTACGATTCAGTCTAGTTCTTGACACCACTGCTTGTCTGGCTAACATAATTTTGAGATTATAAAATTATTTCTTACACTCATTAATTTCAACAGAAACAACTAACGTATTAAAATATTTCAAATGTTTTAAAACTAAGACATGCCCTCACAACAACCTAATAGTAATAGATATAGTTACCACAGCAAAATGTTATGCACAACCTAGCGGTGCAAATTAAATATTCATTTATGATATTTAAAGAGCCCAGCATTCGCGGGTGAACACAACATGTCTCCCCCAAAGAATCCCAACATGGCCAATTTTGTTACCAGAAAAATCGTGAAGAGAATAGAAAAATCAAAAATTGTCTACATCAATGCTTGGGACCTCCAAGAAGGTTTCTTTGTACCACATCCCATGTAAGTTGGTAGACATACACATGTGAAGTTCACGGAAACCCCAAGTTGTGGTTTCCTTGCTGAAAAATTGAGCAAAAGACAAAAATTCCAAGACTGTCTATATCTCTGTTTGGGATCTACAATCTGCAAAGAGTATCTTTGTATTAAATCCCATATAAATTGGTCGAAATATGGATAAAAAAATGGGGTATTGTAGTTGACTTAAGTGCTGTGACATGCAAATCAACAAAAGCAGCAACACTTACCAGAATTTGGCCTTTGTTGTTCCCAAACGTCATTTTATCAAAATTAACTACACGCTTCCTCGGTAGTAAGTAGTCCAACCCTAATATGCATTGGTCTTCAATGTCAGCCAAGTATACTTTGTGTCTGTCCTTCATGCCCATGAACTCAATAGTTACCCACACTGGTCCCCACAACCTTGCATAATGTCCTGTCACACCACAGAGCTTCTGTATGGCTTCTGGTACTCCTTTGTGATCTTGCACCTTTATACTCACAAGGGTTTGCTGAGATGCAGAATCTATGACAAAGTGGTACTTGTTGCCATCCAGCTTTCCTGTAACGTAAACACTATGTAGCAGCCTTTCCTGCCATGACATCTTCGCTGTGTTGATGTTACCGGCATTGAGCTCTATTGTGCCCAGGTTTGTTACAGTGCCAGTAAAGTCCCTCAATCTTCTCTGAAAGCTGCCCTTGAATCCTGATGACTGTACCAACTTTGGTACCTCTGTGCTGGACTTAACGTAGGATTCGAATTCAAGAGCTCTGGCCATTGCATCTTGTATAGTAGAGGGGTGTGTTTGCTTTACTTGTATATTCAACTGTGGACTGTCCAAGGCATCTACAAACTGATCCCTCAGCAACAGCTTGAAGACATCGGGTGGTGCACTTGGGTAGGACTTGTGTGCCATACTTTCCAAATCCTGTGCCAGCTCTTGCAGGCTCTCCTCTTTAGCACTGACTCTAGTCCTAAATCTAGCCCTGTAGACTTCGGACTGATTTTGAGTTGTGCCTGTCGTCTGCTGACAACTGTACAAGTATTTCCAGTGGTTGTTTCTTCAGGCTCCTTGCCAGGTACACTGTTTCTGCTCCTCTGTTCATCCATTCATTTCTGCCAGTAGCTCAAATTGTGCTCTATATGGTTCCCATGGTGCCTTCCCATCGAATTCCTGTGGCTTCCTTCGTACTAGATCACCCCTATTGCTGACATTCACGTCTGGAATGTGACTTCTGACAGGACTGAAGATGTCTGCATTAGCGTTTAGCTGCAGGGTCTGGAAGGGGCTTCCTGTCGTCTAGAGCTGATTAGGTCCATGGTTAATATATCCTCCCTGTGTAAAGGACAATAAATCGTCCTTTAATGTATTTAATTCACTTTGAAATTTAATAATCTTTTCCATTTGTGTATGCTGGTTTTCTCTCAACTGTTGGAGACTTTCTTCTTGTTTCTTTTCTTTCTCCTCCAACCACTGCTGTACTATCTCTTCTTGTTTCTTATCTTTTCCTCTAACAACTGCTGTAATCTCTTTTGTTTATTTTGCTGTTCGAGCTGCCACTGTTGCGGGTTTTCTTGCCACTGCTGTTGTCTCTCTTCTTGTTTCTTTTGCTGTTCTTGTATTGCTGCCATAAAATCTGGTAAGTCGTAGTTTGATTTGCCACTTCTCGTTTCCATTTTTTTTTTCTTTTCCGTCCCACTATCTGACACGAATTTGTTGCCTCAGTGTTAGTTTGTTAATTTCCGGTATAAATTCTTTCCGAGGAACTTCAGCGATACAAGTCATTTCTTAATTAAAACTAGTTTATTCTTTCTCGATACAACTTTGTAATACACAGAATTTCCACAGTCACTTTAAACTTAACAACCTTTATAACACACGCTCTAAATCAGTGATTCACACATTTTACTTACGGTGCCTACTGTTCACTTGACTCATTTATCTCTTTCTTCAATCTCTCTATGCAATTCTATCTTTTTTTCGCTGGCTTTATTTCCCGGGCTTATATACTAAAATCACTACCAGTCAGGGCATGTGGAGAGTTTTCAATATGTAGAAAGTGTTCTAAAAAGGTTCTGTGCATGCAAGTATGAATAACAAGACGTATAATGTTACGGTCAGTAAAGGCACATACTTTTAGTTTTTAGCAATTTCGACCAAACTTATATATATCGCGATCATTGTCCAAAACAACAAGTTTTGCATAAATCGGCCATGTGTAAATATAACAAACATGATATTTACTATCTTGCTTTTAATATTTAAGGTATATCTGGTAGACCGAGAAATCAGTTCTTCTGGGTGTGTGTCATTGTGGTGGATTATTATTATTATTGATAATTACACTGAATAATTTTCTACGGAAGAAAATAACTCCACATGTACTACAATAATCCGAAAATAATTTATTCATCATATGAAAAAATATTATTTTTAATAAATGTTTTCAAAATTTACTCATTATTTTCCAAATTCATTATTCCTTGAAATGAAAAATAAACTTATTCAACGCGTTAATTTTTTTTTCCTTTGTTCGGAATAAAAATATTTATTTCCTGAATAATTTATTCATAAACATTAGAAACTGCTAGGATATCACCAAAATGTAAAACTGTTTAATTTATTCGAGAATGAATGAACACGCTTAAATAAAACCTCTGATGCAACATCAATTCTATTTATGTTTATTATTATTATTGCGTTTGATTCTTCATGAAGAGGGTGAATGGTAGAAACTCGTAGACGACTGAGAAAATGATTGCCATACATGTGTTTGCAAAAGTATTAGCCTAGGTGTACATTTATTAATAATCTAAATGAAATAAATCTTCTTCATATTGAGAAAAGTTCACTAGACAGGGAAATGTGTAAAACCTTATATTGCTTTAGTTTGGCCTGTCATGACTTTCGTAAACGTGATGGAGATAGATTCGTGACTTTACTTTGGCAAAGTTTGTATATAAGCATACGACTACAGGTGAAATTTTACCTTATTAACCTCATCCATCTCTTCCTTTCTTTTACTCCTTTGGGAAATCTAAAAAATGAACAAGTTTCTCTCTCTGACACTGCACCATTTTCAATGCAATTTTTAAATTCTGCGCATGCGCCTGTTGTAAGATGTATGATTTGACTAAGAGCGTTAGCTGGAAACGTCATCCTCTTCAAATAAAAATATAAAAAACTTGGGAATTGTTTAACCTATTCTTTAATTTTGGACCAAGGTATAACCCTACCAAGTTTCAATTTAATCTACCGAGAATTGAAAGAATGGCGGTCGAATGAAAAGTGTCCGGAAGAATAATTTGTTTAGTTTAAAGTTAAACACAAAGCTACACAATCGGCTATCTGTGCTATGCCCACCACGGGTATCGAAACCCGGATTCTAGCATTGTAAGACCGCAGACATACCGTTGTGCTACTGGGGGGTCCGGAAGAATAATAAAGAAGAAACAATAATAAAATAGTATATCTCTCTGCGGAGACATAAGTTAAACAAATATCGTTACAGACAACATTTTCAAAGTATAGCATAGACTTCATAATTAATAAGTTAAAAATGTTTAATCTGCTTAATTTTCAAAAAACAAACATATTAGTTAATGTTTTTATTTAAAAGTTATATTCTAGGTTTCAAAGTGGATTTATATAGTCATAATCTGAATACTTCTTACAAGTAAGAATAATTTTTCATGATAATTTAAACTTGCAAATCCATCTCAACATATAAACAAAGACAATGCTGTAAAATAAGCTATCCTTTGAATTGCTGGTGGACTTCAAGAGTTTCAAAAATACATATTAATAGCTAAATTAATATTAAATTCCGATCAGATCAAGCTATGTATTGAGAGCGAAACTAAAAATCAATTTAACAACCATTACAACTTATATAAAATATACTTTTATTATATTTCGGATAAATTTTTGGCAATATGCTTCAAGTTTCTTCTCATTACAACAAAAATATCTGCATAAGAAATGCAACGGTCCATTACACCAAAGTTGTTAAGCAAAAAGGTATACAATGGACTATCTGTGTTCTGCCCAACGTGGGTATTGAATTCCGACATATAGCGTTAAAAGCCCCCCCCCCCCCCCAATCCACCGGAAAGTTAATTAGGTTGTATGTTTCTTTTTCTATGCAATACAGTGGATAGTTTTTAGAGATTCAGTATTCATAAACTTTTTGATATAAATTGAAATAGTTTAAAAACTGGACAGAAAGAGAAAGAAAAATAAAAGAAGTCCAAGAGCTGCATTGAAGGGACATATTGCCAGGAACTGCACGCGAAAGCCTGTATAGATTAAGAGCTCTCAATGATAACTTTATAACCGAGAACCTGACCATTACAGTCAAGACTGTACAAAATCAACAACTGTTATTAAGCCAAAGAGAGAGAACCCAACCACATCAAGGAAACAGTATTAAGCTAGCGATACATTATAAAAACAGGAATTAGTTGAATTTATGAAATGAATTACAGCTGGAAATACTCTATCTACCACGAATGAAAGAGAGAAAAAAGTTCATTGTTTGAGAAAAATTGGCGACAAGTCATTGGCTTATTGATGGGAAAAAACTGTAGTATGCTGATTGATGCTGGTTCCTATAGTTCGACTCAGTTTGGTAATGAATGGTGGGAACTTTAAGATGTGAAGAAAGAAGAGGGAATGATGAAAACAGCAAGGTTCCAGCAATAGGAAAATTAAAACTTACCCTTATTGTAGAAAATTTCTTTATGCCTCATGATGTGTGGGTAAATCAAATAGCTTCACAATCTTTGACTAGGAAATTACTACACTGTAGGTTAAACATCCAGTGGAAACAGGGAAGATGGTCATTGCACCACCAAGTAGTGAGATACTCATATCAGAAATTAATAGCAATAATTGTTCAGCTTGTGTCTAGAATGTAGTGGAACCAAATACTCCAATGATGTTTTGACAGATTGGTGGTTGGAAGAGCTCTCCTGGATGTGTAGAATAAAGATGCCATACATGACTTTACCAAGTAAATATTTAAATTGACTTGTAATAATGCAAAAGGTAGGTAGCTGTAAGTGTTGATAAAACTGGAATCCACTGAGATGATATGGTATGGCTAAACAGTTCATACTGTGAGAGAGGACAAACTCTAAAGTTAAGTAGGTATTCTGAAGAGATGCAATCTAAACCAATACATGGAAATACATCAGTGAGGGAATGGCCAACTGGGTAACTCCAGTGGAGAATTTGCCTGCAGAGAAACTTGGAATTCCTGTCGAGACTACTTCCAGGAGATCATTAAGTCACCATTGGATTAACTCAAGAAGGCCTCCTACAGTAACAGGGCAGCCAGTGGCAACAAAGGACAAGATTCAATCTCATCCATTTACCATGAACCTCAGAAAACCACTAAAAAGAGTTAGTGAATGGACAAATTAGAATGGTGTTGTATTTTTGTGTATTAGGATTATTCAGAGGACTTCACAATCCAGGGAGTGAGCAGTGTTATGTGCTATATTAATAATGCTGTAATATGTTTAAAAATTCATCCATCTCAATTCAAAGGATGAAAGCATATTGCTACAATGTCCAATGTCATGGAAAAATTTCTTCTTCACTGAACACGTACAAGACAAAGGTAAAATAGGCTACAAACTAATACCACAGAGCAGCATACGTAATTGATCTGTGTTACCAGGGGATCTGAGAAATGAAGAATTTAATTCAGCATATGATCACATTATGAAAGTTTCAGTGATCAGGCAAATTTTATACCAAGAAACAGTCTATCCAGTTGCAAATTGAATCCACTGAATCCATCTTACTTCTGTCTCTCCCTTGCACTAGTGTCCATTAACAGAACGAGTCCATAAAAAAGTTGGAAACTATGCAATCTAAAATAAGAAAACAACTGAAAATGTCTGTAGTTCAGAAATGTATCTTTATTTGTTACTGTGATATGTAAGCATATCATATGTTTTTTACTTGCTTTAATGATATAGGAATTTGAAAAACTTTTTCATATGAAGTTTTAGCATAAACATGTGATCCAGAAAGTTGTTGATATTGCCTTTTTCTAGTTGCTTTGTTTCTTTGTTCTCTACAATAGATAATATATATTCTGCCTGAAAGGATATTATAGTAACATATAGCATTCAGGATTAGCTCTTGTAATATTTTTTGTTGGTCAAATTTACAATGTCTGAATGCTAATGCTGACCAACACTGTGAGAGGACACAGATCATGAAGTAATGCTGTTTGCTGGACAACAAAACCAAGTTTACCAGTTGAATTCAGGTGCACTTTCTTAATTCAGTTCTATTTTGTTTTCACTGTGGCTAGTACAGCAGGAATTCATCTTGACAGAAAGCTAATAAGCTATTTACTGATCCAGTAGAGGTGACTGTCCACTTATCTACAAATGCATACATACTTTTTTTTGCTGTTGTGTCTAAACAGCTTGTTTTCACTGTCCATTAAATGTGTCTAATACCCATCTTTAATACTTGTTGATATGACCAAAGAAATTAAATAATGTCTTACTATATTTGATAATGTTTGATTAATATTTGAATTCACTGATTAAATAAGGTAATGAATACATTCAAGTAATAAGAGCTATAAAATTAGGTTTATTTGAAATCAACATAAGTATTCAGAATTCAATGCAAATCATTTTTTGCATACCAGTTGTCACTTACTCTAATACTATCATTAAACATTGAAATAGTTAAATGATTTTAAATCTGGCCATCTATAAAAAAAAATCAATAACAGAAAAAATATAATCTCTACCATTTTTTATTTATATGAAAAGGAATGTACAATGTTTAGAATAACTACACCAAATTATATTTACGGTCAGACTATTATGAATTGGATTTTAAGTGACATTGAAGAAATTGAAGATACTGAGTTTTATACTGTCCACTGACTGGTATATAGTGTCCACCAGGATGCTGAACTACAACTGGATTAAGGTAACAATTCAGCAGTGTTTCACTCATTTCTGTAAGCAATATAAAAACTGTGTTTTAATGAATCTCTCTCAATTAAATTTTCTACATTATGAAAACTAAATAGAAAGTTCAGCACAATATTTATAAGGATGAGAATTTTTCAACAATTGGAGTATTTCAGTGATAATGAATGTACAATGAATAACCACACTGAATTATGGTCATGGTTAAACTATTATAAATTGGCTTTTAAGTGACATTAAAGATACTAAGTTTTAGTATAGTCTTCATCTAAATCATTTAATGCATAAAGATAATATCTGATGAAAGAAAAATGTCTATATATTCTTTGTAATTCTAAACATACTGTTGAAAAGTACACACCATTAAGTGGATTGCAAAAGATTTAAAGCCTATCTTTATGTTGATCCTTTTTGATTAACTGCCATTGCACTTCAAGGTGTTTGTGCATTTGAGATGTTCAGATACCTTCAGCTTTAAAAGAGGTTTTGCAATTGGTAGGCTGTCCATCAATCAGCCAGTTAAAAGGAATCTTACATTCACATTTAAGTTTAGCATAAACATCTCTTCACCAACTTAAAAATTAACTTCAAACTATAACAGTTATGTTCAATTTGTTATTATAAATAGCTTTTCAACCATTATTATCTATGTTATCTTAGCCAGCCTGAATATCTCTGGTATTTGGTGACAGGCTTTGTTAATACTTGTTACAGCAGATATACTATGCTGACATATTATTAAATGTTCTTTTTTACTTTCTCTCAGATGTTCTTATTCACAACCAAAGTCAATAGAGAAATCTTGATGGCCAATTTTCATCCCTGTAACAGTGTAACAAATTTCTAGCAAATGGCTCATCATGCCTATAAGTAAACTTCATCAAGAATAAAGGTAATGTAAAGAAAGAATTTGTTACCAACAGTCACTTATCAAATCAACTAAGGAAAATATGCTACAAAATTATGAATTGATTAAGATGAACCTAATAAAGCTATAGTTTGAAAGGTATTTCTTAATGCATCTTATAACATCTTCAGTTTATTGAAAAATGATCGAATAATAATTTACCTTTAGGTATAACTGAATCTGTGTCTCCAATAACATGTAGACTTGGGGTTTCTATAGTGTTACAATAAAGATCTTCATGAGGCTTGGAATTACTCTTAAATGCAGCAATCAGGAACACAAAACTGAACTGATATGGAAATGCTGGTAAAATTACAACATCAAGATAGTTACTACAGCTTATATATGAAAAACCTAAAAACTTCTAGATATGAAAGAAAACTATTTAGCATAAGATGAAAGAAGTGAATAAAATTTTTTTCTTCAGACTACAATAATTACAAAAGACAGAAACATAATACATTATTATATAGAAAATTCATGCTTCACATATGAAACATATTTGTGGTTGTAGTATTTTGTATTTGAATGCAAAAAAATTATAAAATGTAAAGGCAGTGCTGTGTATTTAAAGTAATTAAAACAGGTAAGTGGCCTGCCTATACTAGTCACATACGAGGTTAGGTATGTAGAGTTCTGAACAAATCTGATGGCTGTGAGGAGTTTTTAAATGACTAAAAGCTTAAACCTATTCCACAAAACACGTCTAATACAAAAAAAAAGTTAAATGGTCTGATAAAAGATGACAAACCAACTGACTTATCTGGTAAGAGACACCTGATCTAGATGCTTTTAAAACCTAGGTATTGGAGGCAATTATTAAAACTCAGTGATATTGCTCTTAGATCCCTACTCAACAGGGTGATAGTGCCAGTAATCTAAGTGTCTATAAACAAATCAAGAAGTTCACACATAAAACACTGAACAAAAACACTGCTGTCTTAGATGGAGCTCTGAGAGATCCATTTTCCAAATACCTCTTCATTTCCAATGCCTAATACTATCTACACTCACTTTTCCCTTATGCATATGGTGATGTCTTCTATACTTTACTGCTCCTAATTTCATTTTTGCATAGTTTAATGAAGTTTAAAAGGCTTCCTATGCATGCGCACACATTACTCCTTTAATTATGTAGTTTGAGGAAAAACACTTTTGTCCATCTAAACTCACTTTATTTGATGATTATATTGTATATTTTACAAAATGGAGCATTCTAAGCTGATAATACACATTCTGACTTTCATGTGAACATTACATTTATTCTCTATGATTGAATATGTGTGCCAATTATGCCAGTGTCTATTGTAACAAGAATTAAAACATTTTTACGTTCCACTTAGTCTTTTTTCATCAATTTCCGTTAGTCTGAGACACTGATTTTATTTAATATTGACAAAAACCCAAGTTTGCAGACTATTTGCAGAGCATGTGAATCAGATAGTACGAACATCTCCACTAATTACATAAATCAATTGTTAGTCATGTCATCAAAAATGTATTCATTGTGAATTGGGTGGAGGGAAAACAAGTTTTTTTCAATCAACTTTATAGTTAATTGTCTTTTATGTAGTGGGAATTTTGCCTGATAGAGGCTATTAGAAAAAAGAAACATATATTAATTAAGAAAAATACTTTAAAGCACTAACCAATTTATATATTAGTCAAATCAATGAAATTTTTTATTTCATATTTTTTCCTGTTCCATCATCTAAACATCTTTTGTTATATTAATTACATAAATATATTTCTGGCCAGGTGGTTAGGGCGCTCGACTCTCAATCTGCGGGTCGCTGGTTTGAATCCCCATCCCATCAAACATGCTCGCCCTTTCAGTCGTGGGAGCGTTATAATGTGATGGCCAATTCCATTATTCGTTCATAAAAGAGCAGCCCAAGAGTTGGTGATGGGTGATGATGACTAGCTGCCTTCCCTCTAGTCTTACACTGCTAAATTAGGGACGGCTAGTGCAGATAGCCCTCATGTAGCTTTGCACAAAATTCAAAACAAACAAATATAATTATAATATTTTGGCACTTGTGTATAAAGTTAAAATCATAAATAATATTCAACGTTAAACTGGTACACAATTAAAAATTTTAATTGTGTACGAGTTTAACGTTGAATATTATTTATGATTTTAACAAACAAATATATTTCTATAAGAACAAGAAACACATGAATGTAAGATTCCTTGCCTATATTCCTATCAAAAAAGTTTTGAAATAATTAAGAATTTAATACTGCACCATTTTATAATAGCATGATGATGAACAACACAACCACAAAAGTGATGAATATTAACATTTCAGAATATACACATGTATCTTCACCAAACTCCTACAACGTATACAAAGCACTAATTAAAAATAACAATACAACATGAGAATTGAAATGAAATGTAGGTAAGAGAAAGAAACAAACATAAGTGTAAAATTAGTAAATAAATAAGGATATAGATCCAGAAGAAATAAATAAGTAAATGTACTTATATAGCTAATGAAAAGAAATTAAAACAGGCTTAACCGAACAGAAGCTATTTAAGCTAGAGAGATTTTATTGAATAAAAAGACATTCTTTAACCAGGCTTTCTAAATGTGTACAACCTGCGGATGAAATTGTGTGACCATTCTGACATAAGAATACTCCTTACCTCTATGGTTTGAATCAGAATTACAACCTTATCTGCTCAGAAACTGAAAAATCTTCTAATAGTTAGCTTGTCAAATTTCCCACAAAAAACTTGAAGTTTTGACTCATAAAGCATGCAGTTCTTAACTCAGTTTGCTTGAGTTATTTAACAAAGGTACTATAATTGTTTGTATGAAGGTACCCTGTATATGTTATCTAGCTTTTCAGTAGGCTTTAGAAGAGATATCACACCAAATGTTGATTGCTAAATTAGATTTTTATGGCATAGGTGAGAAAATTAAAAAAAGTGGATCAATGGATGCTCTTTTGACAAGATGAATGTGACTTGTGGTTCTTTAAAAATTTATTTTGATCCTCTGTTGGTTGTTATTTATACAAAAGATAGCACGAACTATATGGGCTGTAAATTTTATCATATTTGATTTTAAATGGCTAGAGGAATCAGATATAGAGGAAAAGTTGTTTTCAATCAGAAGGAAATAACCAGATCTAGCAAATGGTCCAGTACTTGAAAATGTTTTATCATTAAAATTGTAAAGTCATGTGTTTGTAATACAGAAACACAAGAAAAGACTTAACTGTTACATTAGAAGAAATTTTGTCATGGCGAGGGAAATGATTTACATGTATGTTTGATTGTCAAAAATATCCTGGAAATTCAACTGTCCAATTGTGTACTTTATAACAAAACTGGTGCTGGATTATATTTATAAAAAATTGAAGTCTAAAATAGGGAGACTAAAAGATTACTCCAAATGAGATGGAACCAGTCTTACATAAATTAGTATTCTTACTTTTTAAAATTAAAATTCTTATATATAAATAAAAAAAATTAACTCTATCACTAGGCCTAACACTAAGTGAAGGATTAACACTTTTCTCAATAAACACGACAATATACTTATCATTCTTCAAAAAATAGCACTCTTTCTCTTCATGTCAGGTGTACTCTTTTAAGTTTATATTAATATGAAAACAATCTAAAATCTTTGATTAGGGAAAAGTTAAATTGTTTTTCATTTAGCTACATGAAATTTATAAACCACAAATATTTTCAGACCTTTGGTTTCTTTAAGTGCACACAAAAGTGTTACCATAGCAGCTCCCTGACTAAAACCCAAAATTCCATCAAATGGACCCTGAAATATAAAGAAAACATAGTATTCTAATGGATGAAAAACATTTATATGAATTACTAATATTAAAACTACTGGTAAGTTCTTTCAATCCATATTTTTGGACATCTCTGCAATGCAAGTGTTTTACAAAATTTCAGATCTCTAATAAATGTCAAAAATATTAAATAGCTATCTATAAAAATATAAAAGCCACACAGTGTTTGTAATACTCCCTTTGTTAGTATCGCTTCACCCTCTGTTCGTAACATTCAAATTACCTCAGTGGTTAGTCTCAAGCAGAAGTCTCGCATTCATAATCCCAGTTGAGTAGGGATTTTATACAACTTTTTTTAATTATTAACTCATCATGCTTAGAGCAATATTTTACAATACTAGGAAAAACCAGAATAACATGATAGTTTGAATTATTTGTTAACATTCAATTATAAAGTTTGGGTGTCACAGCAGATATAGTGCTTGACTATCACATGAAGGCTTTGTGTTCAAATCCCAGATGAGTCAGGATTTTGTTTTGTTCTTATATATTTATTATTATATTTACAGCAAGCTCTTTAAATATTCAAAAAAATATGAATATCATTATAGATTAAATCAGAAATCATATCATATTATATATAAACAACAGTATCTCTCTGCATCAAACACACCTTAAATATATTTTGTACTCAATAGATGACACTACAATAAATTATTATTGATGTTTTTCAACCTAGATAAGAGATTTTTAAAACTTAGTCAAAAATTTTAAAAGCACATTTTTGTGAAAAGTTACACCTTTGTGCAATTGCCCTTCATCCTCAAATTCTTTGCCTTGGCTATTACAATTAATAAATCACAGGGTCAGATGTTTGACCGCATAGAAATATTTCTTCAAGAACCAATTTTTTAACATGGTTCAATCTATAAGGCTTTATCAAGAAAATTTGAACATAAAAAATATACATAAATCAAGATTCTAACCAAAAACCACTTACAGGAGATAATCAAATACACCAAAAAATATTTTCATTAAATAGTAGAAAAAAAGAATAAACATTCTTCATACATGTATTGTTTCTGTAATATAATTCATTTTTAGAAAACATGTTTGTAAAACATTATTTAAATTTACTTTCAGAAAAAAATTAATAACCATTTACCATCATATGATGAGCATTCAGCTAGTGTATATGTACAAAGCAAGTCTTTAATTACCAAATACAGAAAAAAAAAATTCATGTCCCAAAATCACAAAATACTGACTGTAATATGACCTACTGTACTTGCTTAAGTTCCACACATAATTTAACAAATATGAGCCAAGTATGAGGAAAGCCTATATCAGCTTTTGAAAAGCTTTAAAACTGAATACAGATTTATAAGATAAATACTGTCAATTGCAATACTAACACTGGTTATGAATAACCAAATAAAAAATAATGAAATAAACATCTAATATTCAAAATTTGTAGTGCTTACTGGAGGGATTTACACATTTTGATAAAAAGTTTAAAATAAAAAGTTCTTTTTTAATTATCTGGAGTATAAAGGTTGTTTTTTTCTACCTTTCTATCAAAACTATTATTCAAATACGGTTTACATGTACAAAAATAAAAATTGTGTATTTTGCTAAATTTGAAACAAATGTTATGCTTGATAAAATGTTGAAAGTATGACATTGTGAAAAAACTAATGTGAATACAGCAGTAGTCCATTATGAATTATTGAACCAAATACAGTATGTTTTCCTAGTTTTTAACTTACTTCTACATTAAACATATAATGGACAAACCTCTGAATCAAATTCTTGTTTAACAGCATCTAATGATGTTTGAAATCCCTTACAAATATCAGATACTTCTTGGGCACAAAAAGAATTTTGCTCCTTTGAGAACCACCATGCTCTTTGTTGTGTCTCTGTAAGAACAACATATTTCATGTGGGTCATAAATTAAAGAATCAAGTACTACATCAAACACATAATGGACAAACTTCTGAATCAAATTCTTCTTTAATAGCATCTACTGGCTTTTAAATCCCTTACAACTATCAGCTATTTCTTAGGCAAAAAATATTAATTTTGTTCCTTTGAGAACCATCATGCTCTTTATTATGTCTCTGTATGAACAACACATTTCTACTCACTTCTACTCAGATTTTGGAGTTCTGCTTAACAACTTTTCAAAAGAAAACGAATTCATTGGATTTAATGAAGAAAAAATCATTAAACATGCCAAGCAGAAAGAATAATAAAATATCC